ACCAGTTTGTTGGGTGCAAAAGACTTACATCAATATTATGAAGAGTTAGCTTGACATTTGACATCACTATCATGTAAGAGTTTAACCACTAGTATAACTAAGTAGAGAGTAACTGTCCTGGCGTCCCCATCACAGTCGCAGCAACACTGACAAATTGCCCTGACATAAGTCGTAGAGCTCCCTAAACCCCCAACCCCTGGTAGGAGTTTAGGGGTTTAGGGGTTGAGGGTTTAGGGGTTTAGGGTTTATGGCAGGCTGTTGGATTTAGGGGGGTTGTGTGGTGGCTTATGGTTTAGGGAAAGGGGGAATGGGGATTGGGATGCAGGGAGCAGGTCTTTGTGGGTTTTTGTTGGGCTTTTCGGTCTAGTAGGTCCTCTTTTGCATGTCCCCCTAACCGGGGACTTTTCATTTGAAGTGGGCCCTAGTGGTTTAATGTGATTTTGGGGATGTTCCTGCACTCTGCGCCTCTCGTTCTGAATCAGGACCCTTTGGTGCGCTTGATCATGAACCGAAGCCAGTTGCTCACGAAGGCTACGATCGGGTGATTGGTCTTGGGGCCAAACGAATCCGAAACAACCCCGAGGCATTGTACACTGGCATACATCCTCTGATACAGCCCCGAAGAAAAAGACTTGAGCAGCGGAGACCGACCCTACACCCCAGGCCACCGTCTGTGTGCGATGTAGGCTTTTTTCACGCCCTCCAAGATCCCTTCGAAGCCTTCTTACGGCCCCCTTCAAAACCTTATAGCCCTAAAGCCAAATAGCCCTTTTAAATACAACCCCTTAAAGCCTTCTTAAAGCTTTCTGAACGCCTTCGTAACGCCCTTTACACGCCCTAAAGCCCTAAACAGCCCTAAAATCTCCGAAAACGCCCTAAAGCCCAAAGCCTTCTAAACCCTAAAATCTCCCAAAGCCCGAAGCCCTCTAAACCCTAAGTTCTTAAAGCCCTTAGCCCTCTAAACCCTAAAGTCTTAAAGCTCTCTAAGCCCTAAAAATCTTAAAGCCCTAAGCCCCCTAAACCCTAAAGTCTTAAAATCTTAAAAACAAGGGTCTCTTCGGCTCTTTCTGGGTTTGGCCTTGCTTGCTCTGGCGGCGCAGGTCGCCGGGCGGGTCGAGAACTTGCAAGTGATGAGGCGGAGCTTCGGGATCCATGGGTTTAGGGTCTTTAGGGTTTTGGGTGTCGGGTTTGGGGTTTAGGGTTTAGGGTGTCGGGTTTGGGGTTCAGGGTTTAGGGTTTGGGGTTTAGGGTTTAGGGTTTGTAGGGTTTAGGAAAGTTTAGGGTTTCGGGTTCTGGTGCAAGTGCTGAGGCACAGCTGAGAACTCCCCTTTTCTCAGTATGGAGTAGGGGAATGGATCCTTATGACAGTCCCTTAAAGTCCCTTATAGTCGTCCCCTTAGTCCCCAAAACGCCCGATGAGGCGCAGCTTTGCGGTCAGGAGACGAGGTTTGCTAAAGAAGGATTTAAGGTTGAAGAAGGGGTTGGGGCTTTGCTTTGAGGGGTGGGTTTAGGATTAAAGAAGGGGTTAGGATTTTGGTGTTGGGGTGCTAGGGTTTGGGGTTTAGGGGGTTTCACAAAGGTAGTCTTAAGGGCTCTAGCGTCTAGGGTGGTTTACACACTATAGTCTAGAGTTCTAGGAAGCCAGACATGTGGCAGGGAGCTTGACATGCTTGCACTTTTGTGTCCTTCGCTGTGAGCTCAAGAACAGCTGATGAAGACGTCATGTGCGGATAAATGTAGACCTCTGACTATATTCTATCGCAAACCCTAAACCGTAAACCGTAATCCCCTTCTGTCCGCGCCCTCATGTTTATGAGGATCCCGGTTAGCATCCCCCAGACAGGAAAGGGGCCTACAAGCTGAAACCCTAAGCCCTAAAACCCTTAAACCCTCAACCCCTAAACCCTAAACCCTGAAACCCCTAAACCCTAAACCCCTAAACCCGAAATCTCAACCTGAAGCCTCAATCCTGAGCCTCCGATTGTTTCACTCAAGCCTTAGAAGAGCTGATGTGGTTCTGTCTGTTTTCCACCGCACGTTCGCTCTCGAAACAGGGGGGGGTTGTGTTTGGGATTTTTGTGTGTTTTCTTTTGCTGCTCCACCCGAAGTTGAGTTTGGTGATTTAGGGGTTAGGGGTTTGGGGATTAGCGTCCTCTTTCTTCCACCCCCCCAGCCCCCCGCCCCGCAGCAGGCAGGCTCGGGTTGCAGCCGATGCCGGTTTGTATAGTTTCGGGTAAGCAATACTCATTATCAGGAACGATCGCCACCACAAAACAACAACAGAGACTAGGGTTATGTGTTCAGGCAATACTTGTCACCTGTCTCCACAGAAGCCAAACCGCCCCGACGTCCAGGTACCGCCCTGGGCAGCAGTACCAAGCTCATTGGGACTTCTTCGACCCCGAGTACTTCAAGAAGCAGCCCGAGGCACTGCCAAAAACCGATGCATTCCATAATTGTTTAGGGTTTAGGAGAGGTCTACGCAGGTAGCGCCGCCGTTTCGTGGCTAGCAATTCAGTGCTTCGGGCGAAATATAGATCTCAAAATTGCTGCCACCCGCGGCAAGCTGCAAGCAACACTAACCCTGCCCTAAACCCTAAACCCTCAACTAAACCCCTCAACCCTAAACCCTCAACTAAACCCCTAAACCCTCAACCAAACCCCTCAGCCCTAAACCCCAAACCCGAGGGCCGCGACTGCACAAAAAATAATTCCGAATCCCAAAGAAGCTCCGGGTCTCGCAGGACTTCGTGTTGAGGGGTTTAGGGCTTAGGGGTTAAGGGTCTAGGGGTTTAGGGTTTGGGGGTTTAGGGCTTAGGGGTTTAGGGTTTAGGGGTGTAGGGTTTAAGGTTTTAGGGTGTAGGGGTTTAGGATTTAGGTTTTAGGGTTTACGGATTTGGGCTTAGGGATTAGGGTTTAGGGATTAGGGGTTTAGGGGTTAGGGCTTAGGGTTAAGATTCGCATTACTAAGTTACTACTGTTGTTCGACATACTAATAGTAATAATAACAATAGAATTGCTTGTAAATAATGTCGCTACTGTTCAAATATATGACCTCAGATTTGCAGGGCTTGGGGTATACCATTACTATAATAAGAAGTAGTAGTGATATTAGTTCGCATTGCTACTATTGCTAGTATTGCTAGTACTACGACAACGATTGTTACTGTTATGATGATCATGCACGATTAGTCTTGCTATTATTGCTACCGCTAGGATAGTTGTTGCTATTCTTATCACTTGGACTGCATTCCCCAAATCACCGATGGATTCCTCAACAGTGTGTACTGTGATGTGATCCCTAGGGGCATGAAGGAGCTCATAGACTCCAGATTCCTGCTGTGTCTATGCCGCGATCTCGAGGGCTTCTTGCTTTCATAGTCCATAAGCTTTCGCCCAGCCTTTGCAGTCCGCATGAAGAGGACTTTTGGCCAGTTCCGGTTTTAGGGTTTAGGGCCTAAGGGGGGCTCCGAAGTGTAGAAGCTTAAACAAGCACCAATACTATTCCCAAAGATCCCTTAATCAACCTACAGTAGACTATATCCTCAAGCCCTACCCCCAATTATTCAGTCCACTACTTTGAGCTGTCACATTGGACTTAGTCCGATAGCGCAGGTCCTTGGACGCCTCACTCATCGTCGAAATCGGCAACTCGGATGCGCTGGGGGGCTGTTTATCATCTTGCCGTCCAACACCCGTGTGCTTCCCCTGCAAAAACATCCCGCCAGTGCTGCACCTTGCAATGTTCAACATGCACAGGTCGGTTTTCGAGGCTTGCTTTGGGCTTTGGGGGTCAACATGCCAAGGTGGGTTTTCGAGATGCAAAGGTTGCACCGCACAGGTCGGTTTCCGAGATGCAAACGGCTGGCGTCGTGGTATAATAGTATAATAGTCAATAGTACAGTATTGAATAGTGAATGTAGCAGTAGAATAGTACAGCACTGAAATAGTAAAGTAGTAAAATCCTGGCTCAACCGGCACAGGTCGGTTTCCGAGATGCAAAACGTACTGGCTTATCTGGGACCGGTCGGTTTTCGAGGTGCAAACTGCTCGGTGCCATGCATCTCGGGCGCGAGCTTTCGTATTGCAACCCAGGAGAGAACCTGCCCTGTGTTTAGGCACGGGTATTGTGAGCAACCACCGTCTAGAAAAGCCGCCAGTAAGGCTGTTGACCATGCTGTTCTACCTGGCCAGCAGCGCGGAAGGCGAGCAGACATGGAATACTGGTTCTTTGTTAAGGAATTTACTTTACGTTAGCATAAGGTGGAAACCGTGTTATTTATCGTATATCCCGATTATGGCAGCTTAAACTCTAAACCCTTGCAGAAACCCTGAAAGGAACCCGTATAGATCATTGTTATGGCAGTTTGAAACTGAGTTCGTTGACAAGAGCCCAGCATAGGAAAGTTTGGGTCCCTTCTCTGAAGGGCTCGATCCATAAGCCTCCCAGAGACTCCAAAACCCCTTAATTAAGGAATATACCTTAAATCTTATTGGGGTTCCTATTATAATTTAAGGTATATTCCTTAATTAAGGGGTTTTGGAGTCTCTGGCCTCTGAGGGAGATGGCTACTTGGAGGTTCATGGGGCAGTTGTGAGTGGGGATATAGGTCCCCTTATATGGTCTGGGTCTGGGTAGGCGCTTCAACGGCTCCCTCTCTGTTCCAAAAGGGCCCCCTTCCGCAAGATACCTTTGTTTTGCATGTTAAGGCCCGCCTCCGGAAGTTGGGGCTTCTGGATGTAGGGCTTTGGCATTTCAGGGTTGAGGACTCCTGGTTTTAGACGTTAGGATTTAGGGCTTAGGGATTGGGTGCTAGGGGGCTGGGGAGGTCCTCACGACCCCATCCATAGAATGCCTACACCAACCTCGAAGCCCTAAAGGTCACTCGGTGGTCAAGGCTCGTGCGGTACGGTTGTTTGTTCTTTAAGTTGTATGCTTGCGTTTGTAGGGATCTCCAAGAAACGTAGTTTCTGCTTGTGATCCCCCAACAGTTACCCTAAAAGGGACCCTAAACCCTCAAAGGGATTCTTAAGGGAGCCCTACACCTGTTGATTACCCTTAATGTAGCCTTCTACACCCTTCAAGGAACTGTTAAAGATACCTTAACAGAACCCTTAAAGGTACGTTAAAGGAAGCTTTAAAGATACCTTAGAGGAACCCGTTACTAAAGATACCTTAGCGGAACCCTTGAAAGAACCCTCAAAGATACCGTAAAGGAAGCCTTAAAGATACCATCAAGGAGCTCTGAAAGGACCCCCCTTATGGATCTCTTAAAGGAACCCCCCCTTTATGGATCCTTTAAAGGAAGCCATGCAGGCGGGCAGACTGCCTTTCCCATGGCTTACGGTGCTCCGCGGCCCGCGGATCCTGAGGATTGCAGCTCCTGGCTTCAGGCCGCGGCTGGGCTTTTTTTTCAAAGAGGGTTTAGGGGTTTAGGGTTTAGGGGTTTAGGGATTAGGGGTTTAGGGGTTTAGGGTTTAGGGGTTTGGGGGTTCACGCATTTAGGCTTTAGGGGTTTAGGGTTAGGGTTTAGGGTTTTAGGGTGAGAACAGGATAGCATATGGTGTGTAGTATAGTAGCAGTATGGTCTAGTATAGTCTAGTACAGTATACTATAGGTCGCTCTTGTAGATTGTTTATAGGCTCGTATTGAGCTTCATATGGGAGAGAAGGGTTTGGGGCTCCATTCCACTATACGTACATAGGGCTCTAAAGGGAAAGGGAAATTAAGTCTTCCAACCTCCATGGTGGAGTTTTGTAGGGGTTCAGTGAGGTCAGTGTTCAGAGCCTTCGGCTTTCGGACTACCATTGCTAGCATAATTCATTCTTGGTCATGGGAAGCTGTGCAACGTCATGATGGCATGACGAAGCAGAGCACTGTCAGTAGTTGCGGTGTTTATTTCTTGGCCATGAGTATTAAGATTCTGAAGCCCAATTACAAAGAGCACTGGAGGTTGTTGAAGGCAAGACTTCAGAGCTAACTCGCAGCCCTGAGCCCACGACCTTGTGAAGTAGAAATACAGACATGGGCAACTGTTCCCGTTGACATGTTCGGCTCCGGCCACGCCGTGGGCCGTGATGCGCACACGAGCTTGCGGCAATCTGGAAATCTGATTAAATATTGGTCAAGAGTGTCCCCTCGTAATCTTTATGTAAGAGTCCCCGAAGGCCGTCCTTACATAACTCATATACTCGACTGTTACGCAGCCCGCAAACCCTAGTCTAGCCATGACGGCCGCAGCATCACCCAGTTTCAAAAGCAGCGAGTCCCGTCCGACATGCAAGAGCTTGCAAGTCACGCGAGGCAAGTTTGCACAACGCGCACGTTCTGTAAAAGGGTATAGGGGTTGAGGGTCTAAGATTACAGGCTTGAGGCATGCGCTTCACGCGTCCCAAGAAAAATCCCCCCCCCCCCCGCAAACCGTAGACCAAAGCCCCGAAGCCCACCGTCAACCCTGCATTCACAAACGGCTCCACCCTACCTTCAAGCCCCAAGAAACCCAGAGTCCGTTAGCCCCAAAACGGATGGATCCCCCCCTCAGCCCCAAGCCACTTCAAAGGCATGGGGTTTAGGGTTTCAGGTTTATAGGGTTCAATTGGGGTTTAAGGTTTAGGGTTTAGGGTTTACGGTTCAGGGTTTATGCAAGCAGTCATGGGACCATCCAGAAGCGAATCACTTGTGGATGAACTACATAAGGAACGATTTGATGGCTCAGAGGCTAAAGAGATCTGTACTGTCTCCAAAGCACATCAAAAATCCTCTAACATACAAGGACCAGGGACACGCGGTGCACTTGGCGAATAAACCCTACCAAGAGCCTTCCGAAATGGTGCCCCAGCCTGAAAGGACTGTAAAGTCCGAATTGACACACCATCACAGGAAGCCAAAGGCCTCATACAAAGTGATTGCACAGGGAAGCTAGCTCCCAAGCAACGGAGCGCGCGCCTTGGGGATATCTCCCACGGCACCTCAACCCTCTTAAAAACTTCACGGAGAATATGTAAAAAGACCTTACACTGTTTGGCGGTTGCCTACTCAAGGATAACTCTTGCCAATCAGATTCATGTGCCCAGCAAACTCGAGCTGTTCGGGATCGCAGCTTCGCTGGTCTGTCATGTTGCGAGTATCCAGTAATGTTGATTGGAACTGTCCAACCTGTTTGTCCTGTAAACATGAAATACAACTCATAGACAAAAAACCCATTGCAGTCAGGCACCCATTTTTGTTGCACCATAAACCTCCTCAATAATGCTGCAAACGGCTGTTGCATTACAAATCCGTCGGTTGGTAAAGGCATATGTGCCCTCGGGATATCAATGCAGACATCTTCCTGCATCATTCGAAGCCATTCCAACTGACGGCTCCAGAGGTCTTCTGCTACATCAACACCAGACTTGACCGGGATACTCACATTCAAGCGCGTTTGTTCTGAAACTTGCTGCTGTAAAACACAGAGCTTCTCACGAAGACCAGACTCGACACTGTACGCAGACAGAAGCTGCGTATACGGTTCAGGGTCTAGGGTTTGAGGTGCCGGCGAAGCGAGGCAAGGCTGTGTTGCTCCTCGGCCTGGCAGCAGAGCCTCCAGCATCCAATGTTGTCAGGCTTAAGGTTGGCTAGCAATCTAAGCCATTTTCAGGTGGGTAGTTACCGTTATAGGAGCCTTATATACCTTATAGAAGCCGTATGGAAGCCTTTTTACTCCCCACCTGTAGTTTCCTTTAAAGTAAGGGTTACTACACGGCTTCGATAATGGCTTTAAGGTTTAGGGTAGAAGGGACCATGTACCTATACTTAGTCGTAGAGTAGGTAACCTTTAATCAATCAGAGCCCTTTGCGAGTTATTAAGGCCCACTTTGCGGCTTCCCGGTGTTTGCATTTGGGTTCAGGGTGCAGGGGGTTGTGTAACCACAGCTTCACAGGATTCTGGCGAACACATTACCCCATGTACCATTACGGTCGTAGCGCTAAACTGAGCTGTGTGTAAACCCTAAATCCCTAGACCCAACTAAACCCCTAAACCCTAAACCCTTAAACCCCTAAGCCGCCCTAAGCTTAGCTGAGTACCCTAAACCCTCAAGCCCACGAACCCCTAAAACCCTAAACCCCTGAACCCCTAAACCCTTAACTGAGTGGCTTGCTTGCTTGTGAGGTACCCCCTAAACCCTAAACCCTTAAACCCCTAAACCCCTAAACGACCCTAAACGCTTAACTTCATGGCTTCTTTGCTTGTAAGGTTCTACAGTTAGCCTGAATCATACTTGTGGCTCTCTTAAAAAGGGACCTTATTGAGAGGGTCTATATCCCCAAGGGTCCCCTAAGCCCTAAACCCTAAACCCTAAAACCCTAACCCTGTAACCCCCCTATTCCTACTTGCGAGGTTCTACAATTTGCATGCAGACGGCCGGCTGGATCGCGCCTCCAACCATGCGGGCTGCAAGGTCCCCCCGATGGCGTTGTGGGGATTTTCCTCAAAGTCAGAGTTGGGTTTAGGGGTTTAGGGTTTAGGATTTAGGGGTTTTTTAAGGGTTTAGGGTTTAGGGTTTTTAGGGATAGCTTTGTTGAGATGTCCATACAATAAGAGTTCCATTGTTCTTTGTCATACTTGGGGGCCCCTCGTTTCCAAACAAACCGCCCATGTCGGAGTTATTCGTTCTTCCGGGAATCAGGTTAAGGGTTTCGGGTGTTTTTCGGATGGCTTTCGGGTTTCAGGGTTTCGGGCTTAGGGTTTGGGTTTTGGCTTTAGGCTTTCGGGTGTAGGGGATGAGTTTCGGGATTGGGGGCGGAGGCTTCTCGGGCTTGGAGATGGATTTTTTGAGGAGGCGCTGCCGCGGCTTCAGAATCCCACAACAAACACGGCTGCAATCACGATGCAACGGAAAATCCTGTCACAGACCCACTTTCTAACCCAAGCTCTCGGGTTTTAAGAAGTTTTATCTATATCTATGTCTATAGCTATCTATCTATCTATCTATCTGTCTATCTATCTATCTATCTATCTATCTATATAGGTAGATACATATACATATATGTATGTGTATATATATATATATGGGTAGATATATATATATATATACATACATACATAGAGAGAGAGAGAGAGAGAGAGAGAGAGAGATGGTCTTGGTCGTAAGAGGGCCGAAGCACAAGCGATTTTGCAGCCGGCGGGGAGAAGTTGAACTGTCGGATGGTTTTGGGCTGCAGATCTTGCGCAGTAGGAGGGCCTTTCACGTGAAGATTCTGTTCTTCAGGGGCGAGAGCCCACAGGAGGTGGTTCCAGCATGGCATGATGTTATGGTGGTAGAAGTTGAGACTGTGGTACGGACACAAGCTTTTGGTAGAGGCCACAATACCGGATTCCCATGTCCAACGTTCCGCAAGGTCCAAGCCGGAGAGAAGTGGTCCGCCAACATCTGGGCTTGGAATTCGAAGAATCAGGAGATCATGGATCCGGATCTCGATGAGCTCTGAGTGCGATTCTGCCCCACCCCAGCCGGGACGACAGCGCGAAGGATAGTTCTCGTAGCCCATCTAAACCACAGCAAGTGCTTCGAGTTCGGCTGAGAGGACGGGCTTGGGTTGGGCTCTCGCCCTCGTCCACGTCGTGCAAGGACGACTGGGAGGTTCGACACCATGGTGTCTGCATGAGATGCTACGCAAAAGATGATATATATCCTGCACTTAAGGACCCTACACTATGGTAATTATGGGGTATACCTAGTTATGGGTAAGATGCAGGATGTATATCATCCGTACAGCAAAAGTTCTTGGGCTCAGATGCCCTGAGCTCACCCAAACAACCCTAAATCCCTGAACCCTAAACCCTAAATCTCTAAACCCTAAACCTTGAACCCTAAACCCCTTGGAGCCCCCCTTATGAACTCCGTAAGCTTTAGGCCCTGAGCCATTTCACGCAGCTAGAAAGCCTAGTCCATGGCGTTCCACGAACGACCTGCCAACTCCCAATCCAAGAAAGACAGATGATGCTGCAGGCCGTGTATAGCAAGAGGTCGAAGTCGAAAGCGAACACGGTTTCGATACTTTAAGACTTTTTACTACTGGCTGTTCCCATACCACGATGATGCGATATGACTGTCTCCGAAAGCTTCCTGCTGTTCTGGGCCCCATACCCATGTTCTTGACGTAAGCATCCTGCACAGAGGAATCCCATCAAAATACCCTGAATTACTAAGCCCTAAGCCCTAAACGACCTGCTTGGCCTTTGAGGGCTTCGCGGTCCTTTTTTCTCCAAAATATCCGATTTCCGCAAAGACCATGCAGGGTTTAGGCTTTAGGGTTTAGGGATCTCCGGGGGGTGTTCAATGTATCAAGTCCTACAGCCAAGAGCTCTGAATGCGCACCGGACCCTGCAACAGGCACCCGAATCTTGAACCCTAAACCCCTAAACCCCTAAACCCTAAACCCCTTAAACACTAAACCCTAAAAGCAGCTTGGGGTTTTTAGTAGTTTCCAATCGTTGCCACCTACCTGAAATACTCCATCGGAGAGTCGAAGCAGAATACATCAAATGACACTAAGCAGTCCCGACAAAGCAAGGCTCTTCTCAAGGAGTGTCCCCAAAAGAAGCCGACGAGGGCCTTGTGGGTTTAGGGTTTAGGGGTTTAGGGTTTAGGGGTTTAGGGTTTAGGGGTTTAGGGTTTAGGGTTTCTAGCCCCTCAAACCCCGAGAATCTGCGACCCCCAAGCCTCACGAAGAGCTGCAGCTGAGCCCAAGCCAATCCTGCTCTACACCTTTCGCCACCTTTGCTGTCTCGCTTGGGGGAGCACGGAAGGTCTGGGGGGATTTTAGGCTTTATGGTTGAGGGTTTAGGGTTTTGGGGTTCAGGGTTTAGGTTTTAGGGTTTAGGGTTCAGGGTTTAGAGTTATTTTGCTTGTATGGAGCCATAAGCACGCTAAGCGGGATCCTAATCCAACGTCCAGAGACCAGCAGTACCCGAAAAAGGGATCCTGGTTGGTGGGGTGATGCTTACAAAGTCCTCCGACCTTTCAAGCGGGCTCCAGCGGAACCCTGGCCTTTGGCATCCGAGGTAAGCCCAAGGCCCCTAAACCCGACACCTTTAAACCCCTAAAACCCCTCAAACCCCTAAAACGCCCTAAACAACCCCGAAATCCCCCTAAGCCCTAAACCTGAAAGGCTTGGTTGGGGTTTTGCGGTTGCGGGCGGGATGGATTTCTTGGCCACATCGGCTTTGTGCCCAAAAACCCTTGAATTAAGGAATATACCGTAAATTATACTAGGAGCCCTTATAGGATCTAGGGCATATTCCTTAATTAAGGGGTTTTGGAGTCTCTGGGCAGGGTCTTGGGGCAGAGCCAGGGTTGGGACTTTGGGTTTTGGGAGTTCTGGCTTCGGGTTTAGAGTTTAGGGTTTTAGGGGGTTTAGGGTTTAGGGTTTTAGGGTTTTGGGTTTTGGGATTTAGGGTTTTAGGGTTTAGGGTTTAGGGTTTGGGGCGTAGCTCATGACGGGCTTCTTTCTATTATGCGGCGTGTGTTGGGGTCCCCCATGCTTTTGAAGCTCAAAGGAGAAGATTCTAATTATCAAGACCCCTCTGTTGTGTTTGGGTCCTTCATTCTAAACCTCAAACCCTAAACTCACAACCCCCAAACCCTAAAATCCTGAACCCTGAAGCCCTAAACTCAAAGAACCCCAAACCCTAAAATCCTAAACCCTAAACCCCGAAGCCTTAAAGCTCAAAACCCCCAAACCCTAAAACCTACTTCAATCCGAGACCCCGACTGCTGCCATCTGAGGCCATGAAGACTTTGCTCACCGAGGCTGCTCGTTGGGCTGGCTTTGAAGGGCTTCGGGTTCAGGGCTTCGGGCTTAGGGTTCAGGGTTAGGGGTTTCGGGTTTGGGGTTTAGGCTTCAGGGGTTTGGGGTTTAGGGTTTAGGGTTTACTGTTTAGGGTCTAGGGTTTAGCTTCGGGATTAGGGCCAGGGATTGGGGATGATGGCCTCGCTTTCAGGGTTTGGCACGTGGGGATTAGGGTTTTCGGGATTAGGGCTTGGGGGCTTTATAAGGACTAGGGTTTCGGGCTTTGGGGTTTAAGGGTTAAGGTTTAGGATTGAGGGTTGAGGAGTTTTAGGGTTGCGGGCTTTGGGGTTTAAGGTGTAGGGGTTTAGGGTGTAGGGGTTTAAGGTTTAGGGTTTCGGGTTTTTGGCCTTAGTGTTTCGGGTTTTTGCGATGGGGTTTAAGGGGTCAGGATTTCGGGCAAATGTGGAGCGGTATCTGGTAATTTATCTTCGGACCGTGCCATCGACGAGTGACCGTGCTGTAGAAGTGTATGAACATGAGCAGGTACATAAAATAACAACAAAAATCACAATAACACTCATATCAAGAATACGAGTAACAATAACTTAGTAGCTGAATGAGTACACTTTAAAGCTTTTCGGGATCATATGATCCCTTGTAGAACCTCAAAGTACACACTTTTCTGTGCTTCTGAGATACTAGAAATATTAACAAGTGTGCTTGCATCCGTAGATAGTGCATCCTTTGACAAAACATGATCTTTACTTCGGGTACTTCGGCCGGAGGACTCGACATGTCTCTAGAGCTGAGCATCGTAAGCTACAAGGGCACAGATCCTGGACTGTCCGTTTCGTACACAAAAGTAGCCAAAACGGAGAATCGGACTGCACTTTTTGTATGAAGGGTTCGCATCATGACCTGAATTTTGTGAATCCCACCGGTGGTAGGGGCAAAGGTTCTTAAACAGTGGGTTCTTATACAGGATGTTCACTGTACTTGTACATATACATGCACACGCACACACACACACAATCACCTGTATCATCAGGCATATCGCATCCGAGGCTCCTCGAAACAGGTATGTCTGAGACCCGTTGCCCCCCAGTTCTCTCAGTCGACGGTAGGCACATACCAAAGCTCTAGACGCGATGCACGAAAAGCCGCAAAAGACCAAGTCCACAGCAAAGGAGACTGTCACCGTGCCAAAGGGCCAGCGCCCGAGGGTCTTTGACCACATGCCGGCTTTACGTCCTGGGTCTTGAGCGTTTCCGTTTGGGTTGCAGTACCCTAAACCCTAAACCGTGTGCCTCAGGGTTCTTTCTGATGGATGGCCAGACGGTTGAGCTTTGCAAGGTCCAGGCTGTTGGAGACAGACCTAGGGGCTGAGTAGGTAACCTTTAACTGTTTGGGGCTTATATAAACCCATTACAAGTTAAAAGGTTAACCTTTTTTGGGCAGATGGAGACAGGAGGTCTTTGTTCGTTCTTATGCCTTTAATGGCGTCTTGACGTCACATACATTTCAAGCCGTGCTCGATCTGAGATGGGTTGGGACTGAGGACGTGGGAATAGTTTGAGACCTCAACTTCACCTAGACTCTCAACTGCAGCAGTTTGATGACCTGTTGTAATCTTGCTTCGTGGACCCTATAATAATCAGAATAATAG